CCTTGACCTCGTCCACCTTGTTGCTGCCATCGGGGATTTGGTCGCATTTGAGCGATCTGATTGGGTGCGTAGTATGTAGTCCTATTCTGAGCCTGACGAATGCAAGAAAGACAAATGTGTCATCAATACAAACTTATTATTTTGGGTCTGTGGAGACAATCAGAACAACCCTGACAGCACCATATTCTCTCCATGTTGAGCCCAGCCTCAGGCCGTAGTAGCTAGTCCTCATAAATCAACTCTTTCCCCCATAAAAACGACATTCGGGGACACCCCAGCACCCTCAATGATCAGTTTTGACACCTCAGTATATCAATAAAAATGCGGTGGCTTTGTAGGCTTTCAAGGGGAGAAGAATTAAGTTGCTGCTGCTTCTGCAATGCACTTTGCAACCGATCTCCACTTTGCATGGCATTACTGCCTGCTCTAGAAAGTCCTCCAGGCAAGCTTCCATGTTAGTAAGCCAAAAATAAAATCATTTGATGTGGGTACAGATTTGATTAAATAAAGGCACGAGCAACAACTTACAGTTCACATTGTAAAAACAATGGAGCATAACTTGGTAAGATTGCTTAGTGGAAAAAACAAGACCAAAGCAGAAATTTAATGGCAGCATCCAATGTGAAGGCCGAGTCAAAACATACTCCGAGGTTTCCAATAGAAGACTTAGCAAAAATGGCAAGAGGACCCAGAGTTTCCATTACTTTGGGCATAAAATTCGTAAAGGCTCCTGTTTTCTCTTTATTAACTTTTAATAGAGTCAAACCAATTTCCACGTCTCTCCTAAATCAAATACTTTCTCTCTGCCTGAAACCAGTCCTTTAATCCATCAGAGAAATTAATCACAAATAGTAGAAAACAATTGCAAACTTCACAATTCCTCAAAACTGTTAATAGGACAAGCTACAGATAGAGTTTGACATTTTACTACAACCTTTTAATTCTTTGCAAAATTTGCATTTTCAGAAGTCATGTGTAAGCACTACAAAGCCACTTTGACAGTTTCCCCACTGGATCATTTGAATATAGGGAAACGTTTCCTAACTTTTTTCCTTCTTTTTGATTA